GGAATGCCATTCTTTTTACCTGGTCATCTCCTATATATTGTCCAAGCCTGTCTCCTCCAGGAAGCCTTCCCTGACTCCTCAGGCTGGGTCAGACCTTATCTGTCCCCACAGCCCCCAGGCTTGTCTCTCCCATAGGAGACATTTATCAACTTCCAGTTGTCGGTTGGTCTTCACCAGACTGGGCCATTCTGTCTGTCCTCTATGCTCGTTCAGAGCAGGGGGTTGTGGAGTGCCTATTAACTGTGGGCATTCTTCTAGGCCTTGGGCCACAGCAGAGAATAAAACACAAAGCTTGCACAGAGCCTGAGTGAGCCTAAGTGAACAGCTGGGCTTGGCTGAATTAAACTCCTGGGCACCAACCAGCTCACTCGACCGGTCAGCAAACGGCTGCTGGACGCTGGCTCTGGTCCAGCCCAGCGTGCAATGCAGCAATGTTCAAGGCTGCAGCCTGGCCCAGAGCTCAGAGCAATGGATGGGAGAAAGCGGGCGAACAGAAGCTGAGGGCACTGGCTCCGTCTCAGATTGCCCATCCCTCCTCCCCACCTGCGCCAGCACTGTGAGCTTCCTCAGCTCCCCACACTCTCCGTGTTCCAGGCTGGGCTGGTGGGGAAGGCCAGGGGGCGCCTATTTATCCGAACACTGTTGAGGTGGGGCCCGAGGTGGGCAGGGTTGGGGTTCAAAGGATAAGTCAGGCACCAGCCCTGCCCTGGGGGCTGCTGCCGGACCCCCAGGACGGGACAGAGCCCACCTGGCTGGACTGTGGGCCTCTCTGTAAGAACACATGTACATGTGTGCGCCTCTGAACCCCAACCTCTCCTGAGGAAGGGAGCCGCCACAGCAGGGGACAGGCCCATCTGGCACAGGAGGACTGCAGGGAGCAGGGGTCTAGGCACAGCGCGGAGTGACTGCCCCTTCCCCACGGTGATGCCATCTGCTGGGAAGGTTGGCACCCCTAGACTCCAGGACCGCCCCTGCAGGGTGAGCAGCCTGAGCCAAGGAACTCGGGGTCACAGAAGCCACTCGGCAGTCACGCTGGGAAGGGCCGAACAGCTGCCAGCCCTCTGCCAGGTGCCTCACCCACCAGCTTCCAGCCCTCCGCCAGGTGCCTCAGGGGCAGTGCCCAGTCTCCCACTCTTACACTGAGTGCTCCTTGTGCTCTGATTGCCCGAGTTTGTTGCAGGGTCAGCCCAGGTCCTGGAGGGGGCAGGCGAAGGGGCCTCGGATAATCTCAGGGCCAGCAGCTGGATCATGGGAGCTATTGGCTGCTAACGCTGCACAGCTGCGAGACGAGAGGGGCCAAATACTTTGGGCTACAGTCTCAACTCGTGGGCCTGTGTCCCCCCAGGGGGAGGGATGCCTTTTCCAAATCTGTTCAAAGGGATTTGTGGTCAATAGTGAGTCCAGGTGACCCTAGGTCTGGGGGAGCTAAGCCTTGGGGACATTTCCACTCCAATGGGACCAGTGTGATGGCAGCAGTAAGCTCAGTGTTTTGTGGGGCCTGAGGTGCTGGAGGAACCAAAGAGGGCTTCCTGAGGCAGAGGTGCCTGAGCCAGCCAGCCAGGAGCAGAAGGGAATGGAAGAACCCCTGTAAGATGTTTTCCCACAGATCTCTCTCATCTCTGTGTGGCTGATGAAGAGTCACTGACAGCTTTTTAAAAACATTTTTGTATTTTTGCCATAGAATGCATGTGCTCACCAGGGAGAGAGACAGAGACAGAGGGAAAGGGAAAAAAGAGGGAAAGGAAAAGAGAAATTGCCCCACCCCCACCCCCCCAGGGAGGATGGTCACAATCACTTCTTTTCCATTCTCCTCGCGAGAGTTTGCGTGTGTGAGCACCCCAAACCGGAGCCAACACAAGGGGCTTCAGCAAGCAAATTAACTGTGGTACTTCTGTAGGATGGAATTCAGCCATAAGAAATTAGCTGCAAGGCCAGGTGGTGGCACAGCTGGACCCACACGGGAGGGGTCCTGGGTTCGCATCCTGGACCCTCCCTGGGCACGCCAGGTGCATGCACGCATGCCATTATCCAGGCCAGCTGAGACAGGGGCATGGATCGTGGTATGACGATCTTGTGGGGGGCGGGTGCCTGTCTCTCTGTCTCCCTCTCTGTATCTCTCTCATGGAGAAAATAAATGTAATAATAAAAAAGGAAAGACAGAAAGGAGCTGGGTCAGCTGGTGGGGCAGTAGTGATGCGCCTTCCAAGCTGGATCTGTGTGGAAGGTCTCAGGTTTGACTCTCATGTATGGGTCTATACCTGCCAAGCGTGTGTGTCCATGATCCCGGCTGATCAGGATGCTGGGGGAGTGTGGCATGAGACCCTGCTAAGGTCCTTCTGTCTCAGTCTTTCACTCTTATGAAATAAATAAACTTAAAAAAAACAAAACTATGAAGCCACATAGGATATGGATGAATCTTATTATTTTTGAATTTGCTATAGAACATGTGTGGTCACCAGAGAGAGATTAGAGAGGGAAAGTGAGAAAGCAAGTCACCAGGTCCAGAGTCAGCATGCGGGAGTCCAGTGCCTTAACCACCGTGCCGCCTGCTGGTCCCGAAAGGCTATGTCTGCATGATTCGATTAGACGACATTCGGAAGAGGCAAAACTGCAGAGACCGTAAGATCAATGGTTGCCAAGGAAATGGGGAGGAAGGGCAGGTTAACTGGCTGAAGCACGGGGGCTGGGGGCAGGGAAACTCTTCTGTATGAAAACGTACCGGTGACGACCTGACGTGACGCATTTGGGGTGTGTGTGCACGCCCAAAATCCCCAGAGGAGAATGGAGAAGGGACCGTGGCTTGGCCATCCCCTGGAAGGTGATTTCTCACTGCCCTCACCTTCAAGCACACGCACACTACAGCAAAAACGAAACAAAAATAAAAATATAAAAAGGAAGAACTTCATAGCAGAAAGAGTGAACCTTAATGTATGCAAATTTTAAGATGTCACTTAGGCCGCCCCGTGGCACCGTGGTTAAGCACGGTGCAGAGGTACATTCACACATGACTGACCACAGTTCAAATCCTAACCCCTGGGCATGTCTACGTATGTGCCTGCTCCAAATCCTGATGAGACAGAGAGGAAAGGTCCCACAAGGGTGCTTTCTCTCTCCTTCTTCCCCTTCTCTGGCGAGTGGGCAATTAAAATGTGTGTGTGTGTGTGTGTGTGTGTGTGTGTGTGTGTGGTTGGGGGAGAGGGGCATCGCTGGGCATGGTGGTTAAGGCACTGGATCCCACACAGCTGACTCCATGGTTCGAGTTCTCGACCTGCGGCTTAAAAAACAGACTGGTGGGAACCAGCAGATGGCATAGTGGTTATGTTGCTGGACTCCCACATGGTCGACTGCAGTATGAGTCCTGGACCTGGTGGCTTGAAACTCATACCGGGCACATGTGCCTGTGTGCCCAAGATCCAGGGAAAAGGGATTGCAGCATGGCCATTCCCACTATGGGGTGATTTCTTACTTTTCCTCTCTCTCTCAGTGAGCACATCCACCCTAAGGCAAAAACATGTACAAAAAAGAGGGAGAGAAAAAAAAAAAGCAAAAAACAAAAACAGGCTGGGTATGTGTGCATGCCTGCCCAAAATCCTAAGAGAATGGAGAAGGGATTGTACCGTGGCCATCCTCTCTGGGGGGTGATTTCCCAATTTCCCTCTAGCGAGCACACACCCTACGGTAAAACTCTAAAAAGAGGGACTAGCAGCTAGCATAATGGCTATGTCATTGGACTCCCACGTAGTCGACCACGGTTCAAGTCCCGGACCTTAAACTCACACCGGGCACGTGTGCGTGCGTGCCCAAGACCCCAAGAGGAGAATGGAGGAGAAGGGATTGCGGCGTGGTCATCCCCCCTGGGGGGTGATTTCTCACTTTCTGTCTCTCTGTCTCTGTCTTTCTGGCAAACACACGCACCCTGTAGCAAAAACCTCTCCAAAAAAATGCTAAAAAGAAAAGTGTGTGTGTGTGTGTGTGTGTGTATCTCAGGGGCCAGCCTAGTCAGTACAGTTGGTAGCAAACCACACCTCATTGCTGGAAGCCACCTGGTCAACTGCAGGTTAGGATCCCTGGGTTGGCTTGAAAACACAGGGTGTGTGCACATGCGCCCAGGATCTGGTAATCTGGAGGGACAGGGGAAGGACGCTGCGGTGTGACAAGACCCTGCAGAGGATACCCCTCCCCCCATGTGCACATGTACTCTTCTATGAATAAAATAAATGAACTTTTAAAAATTATTTTCAAAACATCCTTAGGAATATCACTTAGAGGATCCCAGCACAGAATGCAGAATCTAATCTAATTATGAAGCCACCTCACCCATGAGGGCAGCTGACCTAAGGGATGCTGCAAGTGAGTCTGCAAGAGTAAAAGCAAACGCAACTGTGTGTAAACGCTGTATGTGACCAAACCGCTCCCCAGTGGGGACAGTTCCAACACTGCTCTATGCGAATACTGGAACCAATTAAATGGTGCTGAATGGTGGCTATCGTGCTTGCCCCTGATGGTGAGAATTCAGATAGGCAAGGGCTAGTAACAGATTAGAGTTGATATCAGTGTGAATTCATGTTTACCTTAACACAGACACACACGGTTACACGCAGAGAGATTTACAGCTAAGCGTGTACACGGGGATTAGTATACACACACGCATCTCCTTACTCGTTAGCTCAGAGGGCCCCAAAGTACCATCCTGACCCCTCAGGAGCAAGAAACACATCCAGTACCCAGGTCTCTTTCCAATAAATATGATTTCTAATTTTCCAGGGAACCAGGACTCCTCGAAGAAATGGCTGATTCTAGGTCTGGGGCAGGAAAGTTACTAGATGAACCTGAGGCATTTTCTAGGGGCAAGAAGTAGCGTAGTTGTCAGATAAAAACAAAAACGCCTGTATAGGTGTGTGTGCTGGGAGGAGGGGTATACCAAATGGACACAGAGCCAAGTGAAAGAGCTCCCCATGGCCAAAGATAGGTCACGTGAGCAAGGAAATAAAGAACTGGACTATGACACAGCGCAAAGGAAGCACACGTGAGCCCATACAGACATGTGCCTTGATGCTGGACTTCCAGGCCCCCAGAACTGCGAGGGCACATTTCTGATGCTCATAATCCTTCCAGTCTAAGGTTATTTTTTCATGGCAACTCAAGCTAATCAAGTTCATAAAAAATGGCTAAATATAAGAGACGGAGGGGCCATTTCTACTGGGGAGGGGGCTGTGAACCATACAAAAAGAGGCCAAGCATTGCGACTTATGAAATACTTGAGGAATGAAACACGGCTGTTCTTAACCTTTAGACCACAAACATTCAGGCTTCGGAATGCATTAGTATACTTCCATTCTACAGGAACAAATAAAGAAAAGTAGGGGCATGACCAGTTATCAGTTCTAGAAAGCAGAGGGACAGACTTCCCACCTGTACCTTAAGGCCTTTTAGGGTTTTCCCTTTAAAGGCCCAGATTCGAGTCCTAGACCTGGCAGCTTAGAACTCACGCCAGATGTGTGTGCATGTGTGCATGCGTGTGTGCCCAAAATCCCGAGAGATTTGAAGAAACTGTAGCACGGTCAGGGTCATTTCTCACTTTCCCTCCCTCTCTCCAACAAGCACGTGTGCTCTGTAACAAAACACTAAAAAGTAAATAGATTTTCCCTTTCACAATTGGACAGCGGCCAGCCTTCAGGTCTTCCCAGTCAAGAATTTGCAATGAGGGGATCTGACAAGTGGCGTGGTGGTTAAGGGTGCTGGACTCCTACATGGCTGATTGCAGTTCGAGTCCTGGACCTGGAGGTTTGTTTTCTCACTTTCCCTCTCTATCTCTCTTTCACTCTATCCCTCTCTGATCAAATTAAAATAAAGTGAAATAAAATATTTAAAAAAAAAAGAATTTGCAATGAGTAGTGTCTGTGTTACCTAAAACCTCAGAGTCCCCAGAAAGCTGAAGGATAGTAAAGTTCTTTATCCTAGCGTCACCCAATTAGTCATAAAAAGACCTTACTGAGAAGGAATAATTTGGGCATGCTGATGAAAAATGGGCCCATTATATTATAACATAGACGTCAATGCTCTCTCTCAGTAACTGGAAGAATGACCAGAAAGAAAAGCAGTAAGATCGAGACGAACTGGACGCCATCACTGATCAAGTGTAACTAGTTAACCCCACAGGACCCGGACAGCTGCAGAGCATGCGTCATCTACAGTACAAAGGTCATTCACCAGGGGCCCAGCAGGTGGCGTCGGTTAAGACGCTCAAAGGTGCCCCAAATCCCAGAACTGAGAAGGCAGTGCAGTATGGCCATCCCTCCTGGGAGGTGATTTCTTACTTTCTCTCTGTCTCTCTGTCTCTTTCTCTTTCACTGTCTCTGTTTCTTCCTGGCAGGTGCACATGCCCTATACAAAAATCTTAAAAATTTCATCAAGATAGACGGTATTACTAAATGTAATTTAAAAAGAGAGAGAGAGAAGCAAGCAAGTGGCATAGTGGCTAAGGTGCGGGACTCCCACATGGCAGACAGTGGTTCAAGTTCCAGACCCAGTGGCTTGATACTCATGCCAGGCGTCTGTGCATGCATGCCCAAAATTGCAAGAGAAAAATGGAGAAGAAAGGACTATAGTGAGGTCATCCCCCTAGGAGATGATTTCTCACAATGTCCCTGTCTCTCCAGTAAGTGCACACCAAAACTTTATCTCAAAAAAGAAAAGGAAACGAGGAACTAGAAGTTCATTCTTTAACCATAATATAATTACACATCCTAAGAACATTCTCATGGTAAGGCCTCAACTTGTTTGCATACCTGGAACACTGGGTGAGTGTGTGGCTGGCTGGTTTTCACCCTGTAAGTCACAGCTCAAACATCATCTCTTAAAAGAGGTTCTGTCTAAGCACCCCTCCCTCACCCTCCCATGCCACCCTAGTGACTGCCATCAGAGCAGAATAAGAAGCTACAATCGACCATTTCTTCACTGCGTTTGAGCTTTCTTCTATCCCACTGCCATGTAAGACCAGGAGCTTCCCGGTTTTCATTAGGAGTGTAAGAAAGACAGGATCCTGGGCCTCTCTTCACAAGCGACTTTCAGTCCACAAAAAAAGAAGGAAGCCTAGATATAGAAAGTGACCCCTGGGACCCACAGATGGCATAATGATTACGTCACTGGACTCCCACGTGGCCAGCTGTGACTGGAGTCCCAGACCTGGTGGCTTGAAACTCACACTGGGCAGGAGCGTGCGTGCCCAAGATCCCGAGAGGAGAATGGAAGAGAAGGGATTGCGGCATGGCTGTCCCCCTGGGATGATTCCTCATTCTCTGTTTCTGTCTCTCCAGCGAGTACACATACATGTAGACCATAGCAAAAATCTCTCTTAAAAAAAAAAAAAAAAAAAAAAAAAAAACCAGAAGTGACACCTGAAACAATATAGTTACAATTAAAAATAAAAATATTGACAAAAATATTTTTAAAAAATAGGCCTACTAAAAACAAAAGTATTACCCTCCGGCTTGTCATAGACATAACCCTGCTTGCAGTATCTCAACTTGGGTCCCTGACTCCAGCGTTGAAGAAGGCCATCCATGCTGACTAGGATAGGCATGCGACTGTCGGGGTTTGGTTGCTATTTTTCCCTTTGCTTTCTCCCTATTTAACCGCCATCTAGCTATATGGCTTATTTTTTTAATGGCTTTACAGACACCTGATTCACATACCACACAAGTCCTCTGTATCCAGAGCCATCCGACCACCATCACAATTACTTTTATAATATTTTCATCACCTCCAAAAGAAACCTCGACTGCATCAGCAGCAGCCCCCACTTCCCCTCCTCCCTAGTCCCCAGCTCCCCCAATGCACTCTGTCAGTATGGACCTGCCCCTTCTGGATACTGTGTATAAGTGGAGTCACACATGAATGGCCTTGTGTGACCGCCCTCCCCGGCTGGCACCATGCTGCAGCACCAGCACACACACCACTGCTCTCCATCACTGCACGAAATCCCGCTGATGGACTCCGCGGCTGTCATTCTTACTTTTTTTTTTTAATATTTTTGCCATAGAGTGCATGTACTCACCAGAGAGAGAGAGAGAGAAAGTGAGAAATCACCTCCCACAGGGATGGCCACACCACAATCCCTTCTCCTCCATTTCCTCTCGGGATTTTGGGCATGTACCCTCCTGCACTGGGCATGAGTTTCAAGCTACCAGGTCCAGGACTTGAACTGTGGTCAGCCATGTGGAAGTCCAGCACCTTAACCACCACACCACCTACTGGTTCCTTTACCTGTCTTTAACAAACCCATCCCAAGTACTTCTCTGTGTGACGCAGAGGGTGGAGGGAAACCCAGGGAAGCCCCGCCCGGCCCCGACGCAGGTGTGAAGGCAGCCCTTGCTGGCTGTTACACAGATGCACTGAAGTGGCGGGTAGAAGAGATGGGGCTTTTGTTTCGGGGAGTTTGTTTTGAGTTTATGCTAGAGCACATGCATGCATCAGGAGAGACAGAACAAGAGAAAGAGGGAAACTGAGAAATCACCCTCCCCCAGGGGAAATGTCCACACCACAGTCCCTTCTCCAGTCTCCTCTTGGGATCTGGGACATGCATGCACATATATCTGCTGTGATTTTTTTCAATCCACCAGGTCTAGGACTCGAACCATGCAGCCAGACATGTGGGATGCAGTGCTTTAAGCTCTACACCACCTGCTGCCCCAAGACAGGACTTCTGATGAGTGGGAAGAGGGAAAAGGTGAGGAAGGCACGAGGAAGAAAGGGCATTTTGAGATACACCTGGAGGGGCCGTGGAGATGACAGGGAAGCGTTCCTGGGTAAGCGGGACAGCGAGCAACAAAGGCGCAGGTGACTGACAAGTCCGAGGAAGGAGGGGAAGGCGGGGAAGTGAGGCTGGGGGAGACGGGGGCGGGGGGCAAGGAGGGCCAGGAGCATGAACTACAGTCAGGGGCCAGAGGGTATAATCAGTTTCTGCTACAAATCTTTATTTTGTAGGACTTGTTCATTACTGCAGAATAAAATACAAAAGCAATCAAAAATTATGAGGTTTTCTAAAAATAGTTTTCCATTTGGTGTTTATGGCCTTTTTCAGTAAAATCATCCTGAAGTCTTAAAGAGGTTTTGGCTTCAGATTTCTCAGAACAAAGTTTCTTTCACTGGCTGCAGAAGCCCTCGTCAGCTTCTTGCTCCTTAAAACTAATGGGTCAGAACCAAAAAAACCTTCTAAAAAAGCGAATATACCTCTCTCCACACCGGACTTGCCCCACCCAAGCCTGTTGTTTTTTTCAGAGCCTCACACATGTCCCACAGAAGGCCAGGGAAGGAGGGAGAGGCGAGCAGCCATCTTTGGGAGCTAGGCCTGCAGCACCCTGCAGTCCACGGCTGCCGGGCCTCCACGTTGCTCCACTGTTCTTCAGTCCCTGACAACACACGTTCTAAGGGGCGGTGTTCCCACTTGGAAAGCACCAGGGGCAGCTCCTCAGTAGTAGCCGAGGCACACCTTGTCCATGGACAGTTTTATCCTGTGAGAGAAGGGAGGAGAATCTGGAGGGCTGTGCACTCTGAAGAAATGAAGACCACCATCTTCCAACCCCAAGCAGGGAGTCATTAACACAGACACACCCCACTGTCACCACAACCACCATCACCACCACCACCACCACCACCCAGAATGTGGCTCTTCTGGATTCCACCGCAAATGCCTCTAGAACAAGGCTGAGGTGGGGCTGGCAGAGGCGGAGCCGCCTCCAGCCAGACAGCAGGAAGGACAGCGGCGGCTCCCTTCTGCTTGAAGGCAGTCACTGAGCTCCGGAAGGCCATGTGCAGACTCACCTGTCGACCGGGTAAGACTTCTCACAAAGGTTGACCAGCACGTACAAGTGCCTCAGCGCATACTCGTACTGCAAGGGACAAATCACGGGTCAAGACGTGTCACCATTTCACCACGCAACTGACCCTGACCTCGGGGCAGAGGGAAAGCATCGGGCCAGTGGTTCCTGATCTTCCTGGGTCGTGGATCCCCCCCATCCTCTGATAATCTTGTGAGAGTTACAGACCACCTCCTGAGGAAGTGTACCCCAGCATTTGCACACAACCTCGGGGGCCTCCTAATCACTCTCAGTCCTGGCTCAGGACAACTGACGGACAACTCCCGAGGGCCCCCCTCTCCTGTCACCTGGGACCTCCCTTTTGGTTCTGCGACCCTCTCTGGAGGGGATGCACTGCTGAGGGAGATGGATGGGGAGGGAGCAGGTAAGACTGAAATAACTGGGGACGTCTGTCTTCAGGGACCCGAGAACGCCCATGAGGAAGAGGGAGGAGATGGACTCCATGGGATTCCAGAGGGCAGAGACCAAGACGAGGGGAGAGCTGTCCCACTGCCCAGTTCTGTCATGTGTGAGCATGGCGTGGACGGCAGGTGACCGTGTGACACTAGAACTGCATGTGTGAAAACCACTGGGGGGGACGGGGGGGCAGGCCCTGGCCCATAGGCCAGTTTCCACCCTCTCTCTAGAAGGGTCTAAGCGCCACACAGTACTGACCAGAAGACGTTTTAGGGACCTGCCAACCCTGGCTCTTGACCATCTGCAGAAACTTTGAGCTTTCTTCTCCATGGACCAGGGCGTGGGGTGAGGGGGAGATGGCACCAGAAGAGACCCAGGGAGAAAATGCGTGCGGCTGACGGTGGGAGGGTGTGGGATGTGCCTGGCAGGGACAGCATGACGAGAGGAGCAACTTCCCATCACAGCCCGCCACACACGGGCAAGGCCACATGTGGCCCGGTGAACTCTCCCCTCCACGGGGACAGCCCTGGGGCCAAGGTGGTGGGTGTGTGGGTGAGTGGCCATGAACGGGGACCCCTTCCTCTCTGAAATGACTGTGTTTCCTCGGCCCAGATGGCGCCGGCTCCGAGGTAGAGTATCTAGTGTAGCCGCCAGTGACTGGGAACTCGGCGGGGGGCGGGCCGGGCGTGCTCACCGTGGCCGGGCGCCG